ACGGTCTGTGCAGTGGGCTGAGAGGCAGCATCCACCCCTCCTCCCTTTTCAGGCCCAGTGGAAACCCCGGAAGGACTGAATGCGGTTCCAATCAGCCGAGGAGTCGAGGCCCGCCTGCCGGCCTGGGATGCAGGCCATCTTGCTCCAAATCCTTCTCTTCTGCCACCAGGCTGCTCCAAACAGCTGCAGAAGACAATGAAGTTCTCCATCCACGGCAGTTCCAAATGGGTAGCCCTTCCTAGACGTGGCTTTGCAACAGGGAAGAGCTCTGAAAAAACACGTCCACACACAAGCCTGCCAGCAAATGCCCACAGCATTATTCACACCAGCCAAAGGTGGAAATAACTCAAATGTCCATCAGCAGATTGAGGGATGAATGCAATGTGGTCTGTCCATGCAGTGGACTATCACTCAGCCACGGAAAGAAAGGGACAAAGTACTCACACTTGCTACATGGATGAACCTTGAAAACATGATGCTGAATGAGAGAAGCCAGAACAAAAGGCTGCCTCTCTGGACTCCGTTTATGTGAAATGTCCAGAACAGGTAAATCCAGAGGAACAGAAGGCAAACTGGGTGCTGGGGACTGTTCAATGGACATGCGCTTTTATGTTGGGCTGATGAAAACATTTTGGAACTCGATGGAGGTGATGCCATGTTGGGCTGATGAAAACATTTTGGAACTCGATGGAGGGGATGCCATGTTGGGTTGATGAAAACATTTTGGAACTCGATGGAGGTGAAGTGCTCCATCCAAATTACAGGTCACTGAATTACACACTTTAATGTCAGGTGAAACTTAGCTTAAAAAAGAAGTGACCAACAACGCTGGCAGGGCTGCGCCGGCTACTTACTCCTCCCAGGCAGGGCTGTCTGTGTGAGGCAGCCAAGCTGGACAATGCCTTGGATACGGCAGGAGTCAATCAGTGATGAACGTGAAACCCGTGGGTGTGCCAGACTGGAGGCTCCCAGATGTTGCCCTGTGCTCACGTTGCACTGTGAACAGCCCCTCCACACACACATAACTACGTAAGCACAGGTATTAAAACAACACTGCGCTCTATTGTGCTATTGGACCCACCTGCTCAGTGGATTTTGCCCATTTGGGAAACAGGACAGGATCACTTAAGACACACGGCAGTACTAAGAGCTTTCAAAGTACCTGAGTACCTGAGCACGTGGTCTGTCTAGACACTGGAGTAGTATTCAGCACTGAAAAGAAATGAGCTTTTAAGCCATGAGAAGACGTGGAGGAAACTTAAATGTGTATTGCAGTGAAAAAAGTCAGAGTGAGCATACTTCCTGGATGGCCCAGCTCTGTACACAGAAGATCAGAGGTTGTCAGGAAGAGGGGGAGGGAGGAACAGGTGGAGCAGAGGATCTTCAGGGCAGGCAAACTAGCTTCTTGTGTGACGGCACAATGGACACACATCAGGATATATTTGTCAAAACCAAGAGGGAACCCTCATGAAAACCATGGACTTTGGGTGATGTGTGAATGTAGGTTCATGAATTGTAATAAATGTCCCCTCTGGTTGGGATGTTGATAACAGGGGCGGGGAAAGGGAAGGTGCTGTGCCCATGTGCGGTAGGGGATGTGGGGGAAATCTCCGTACCTTCCACTCAATTCTGTTGTTAACCTAAAACTGCTCTAAAGATACTTTATTTGAAAGGGAAAAAAAGGTACTTAAATGTGTGAACATTTTCCTAGTACCACAGAGAAGAGTTGCACAACGGTTAGGTTAACTGCACCAGGCTGTCCTTGGCAGTGAACTGCTTTGGTTTTTTAAAAATCTTTCTGAGTCTCAGAATCCTGTTTAAAATTCTTAGACCCTGCCCCTCCCTGCCAAAATCTGGTTTCTCTCTTTTATCGCCTTGTTGGACCTTTTCCACTCAACAGATGACAGAAAAGCAGAGACTCATTGTAAACATCTGAGTCATAAATGGAGGAGGTAACTTTAATAGGATCCAAAATGCAAATCAGAATTTTCTAAGTAAAATTCCACCGTCTGCATTTACTCCTCACAGATATCTTTGAGCCCAGCAAGTTAGAGAAGGATTTTAGCATCCCACATGAGAGGCTGTCACTGGGAAAAAAACAAGACTGAATTGTGTGCGAGTGTATGAAGCCACATTTATAAATAGTTCAGGGCCCAAAAGAGGTGTTCTCAGTAGCCACTGGGAAGCCAGTTGTCCCAGAGAAAACATTTTCATGGGTAATGCTACACTCAGCCAGGAGTCAGTCACATGCTTAAAGTTGGCTTAACAAGATGCAGTGTCTGAATAATTTTGTTATCAAGACACAAACTACTCCTTATGTATATAAGGCTACATTGCCTAGATGGATTTGGTATACAAGATATACAGCCATTTTGGGTTTGAAATTGGTAAATTCTTCTGAGGTCCAAGGAAAAATACAGCTCTTAACATTCACTGAATGTGATTCAGTGTTTGCAACAAACTCCAAAGTCCCCCAAATGGGGGCAGAACAAGAGAGCCTTTTAGTTCGTAAAAATGTATGAATAAGCCCGTGCTCTGAACAATAAAATGGAATGTCCAATGAACGCTTCATACTCCCTGCATCTGATGTTATGTTTAAAGTTCCACAGACTATAGATTTCCCAGTCCTTGAAACAGGGCTCCTGTTCTGAAGACTTTGCATATGTAATTAGTAACATAAGCTTGAGACCATTTAGATACCACCATCTCAGCCAAACTGTTAAATATTACATGCATGGCGTCCAATTTTGTCAAATGAAAGAAACCTCATGACCAAGATCAGGTAAGCAACGATTTTGCAAGACCACAAAGTAGGGTTTCAGCCACAGCATGATGATGTTATTTTCCAGCAACTTCGAAAATGAAGCTTGATCCCCAGGTAGGGAAAGGGAGAATGACATTCGTATTCCTGGCGAGTTCCAATGTCCTCCTAGCATCCCAGAACCACCCTGATCAATTAACAAAGCATGTTTTGTTCAGAGAATGAATGAGGACGGCTTTCTTCTGTGCATTTTAGTAAAACTTGAAAGCTAGGGCTGGTTGCCATTGATGACGCCTATTGGGCCTCCAATACCCTCATTTTCAAATCTGACCAGCAATCCCCCGAGCTCAACATTGCTCATCTTGACACTACAGGACGTTCGGCAAGGCTGCAGATGGTATCACAGGATTTTCTACTGTTAGGGAGAGAATAAAGGCTCTTTGCAGCAATGGCTGGAAACACAACACGAGACCTTTCTTCACAGTTTAAGAATTGATAAATAGTTCACCGAGCGAACCAAAGACTTTTATTTTTTTCAAAGCAGATAACACCAAAGTACTATTCATACTCACTGCAAGAATAATTACTGGAACTTTCAAACTATCAAGCGAATAAGCTGAATTGGTGATTATAATGTTCAACCAATATACAGATTTTCATTCAAGGTCTAGGCTTGATTTCTAAATATTATTCACATGCATTCCTTGTGTCTAGCTATTACCAACACAGGGATTCTTGAAAGTCGAGTTCGACCTTGTCTTGATTTCAGAATGATACAGCACCTGACAGAGAACTCTGGCTTGCTGCTTTCGTCCTAGAGATCAAGTCTTCTGATGTTATAAAACAAACTGTATTTCCGAAAAATAAAATCATACTTTCGATGCCTTTGAAACACTCAGGTCTCCACGCTTTGCAGCAGCATGGTGACCTGGACGTGCTCAGACATCTTTCCTTTGTCTTCCCAAACACACCACCAGGAACCCAAAAGGGGCCCTATTTTGAGAGTTCCGGGATTGAAGTTTTTAAGAACCACCCTAAACCCGAATAAAGGCAGTAGATGAAATTATCCATTAATTTTTCTGTTAAGTGAAGATGCGGGACTACATTGGCAAATGGGAAAATAATACCAGCTATATGGCTGAGAAAAATGCTTCTATAAATCCCTCCTTTCTAAATTATGTTTAAAGGTGTTTAAGACCCAAAGGAGGTCATAAGACTGTTAATACAAATATTCCTCTACAAGAAAGAAGCTCTCTGTGGAATGTGGCTAAGGATCTGGTACAAACACCTGAGGGAAGGTAGATGGATAGTAAGATCCAGCCCCGTATTCTGAGCATGCATTTATGAACTCATGGATATGTACCTGGTGGGTGTGAATAGCCTCTCCTTATACTTAAAAATGAATTAAGACATTAAAGTGAGTTTGTGTGCTAATGAAAAGCCTGCAGTTACAGAATCTTAGAACCAAGCCCTTAGTCTATAAGGCAAGATTTTCGCCATCAGAAGTCGGAACAGATGGACGTGATGGGAGGCACTAAAGGCTCGTTCGGCCGTCTTCGGGCCAGAACAGTCTCAAAAATAAGGCAACCTGTGTCTTCTCAGTTTGAGACCACTATCAAGAAAGGCCCACCGAGGCAAGAAAAGACGCTGGCTCATGGCAAATCACCAAAAGATATTCAGACAGGGCAACAATCACAGTTAGGTGGAATGATTTAGGATCACAGATACGTGAGAAACTTTGACCCAGCACTCGAGGTGACATCTCTGCATGTCCTGCACATGACTCCAAGCAGCAGTTTCTGGGGTTTGGAGGTGTGTTACTTTTGTGACATTTCCCCCCAAAAAAGACACAAAGGTGGAGTCCCTGGAGAGATGAGCCCAGGGTGTGCCCTCCACTGGGGGTGGGTGGGAGTCGGAAAGGACTTCCTGCAGCACATGGCTCCCTCCAGGTCTGGTTGAGTCCTACAAACGCTTGTAGGTGCCCAGAAGAGCTTTGCAGTTGGGACAGTAGTGGTCCACGTCCTGCAGGGCGTCCACGCAGAAAGGGATGAAGCAGCAGCCTGCTGCGCACCTGGAAGAACAGCCAGACACAGGGCCAAAAAGATATGTCAGACATGCCAACCCCCAGAACCTAGGAATGTGATCTTATTTGGGAAAAAGCATAATTGGAGATGTAATTAAGGATCTCAAGATGGGATCGTGCTGGGTTATTCTCCCTACACTCAGTGACTGATGCCCTTAAGGAAAGAGCAGCGGACACAGAGAAGTACAGGGAGGGACGAAGGCCATGGGAAGACAGAGGCAGAGGCTGCAGGGGCGCAGCCAGAAGCCAAGGAACGCTGGAGCCACCAAAGTGGGAAGAGGCAAGGAAGGATTCTGCCCGTAGGGTCTTCAGCGGGAGGGAGGCGTCTAGATTATTCCCGTCTCCAGAATTGTGAGTGAGCACATTTCCACGGTCTGTGGTCATCTGTAAGGCAGCCTTAGGAAACTGATATGCCAACCAACGCCAGGGCTGCCCCCACAGACAGACCATCCTGGGTGTATCTACAAATCCTGGGTCACTTGGGCATCTGTCAAAGTCTTAGGCTGGGTCAGTCAACTCCTTTCGTAAAGGGCCAGACAAGATGGTATGTAGTTTAGACCGTAAACAAATGGCATGAGCTAGACGTGGCCCCTGGGCTGTAGTTTGCTGGCCCCTGTCTTAGACTGATCATTTTCCACATGCAGAGGCAGCAGTGACCAAATAAAGTCCCCAAATAATGTCTCTTAACCCATGTCACCCATCGGCAGCACACAGGCAGGCCCTCCCTTCACCCAGCCTGTAGTGTAAGAAGTGTTCGGTATTTGTCCCTGTTCCGGGCCCGGAAAACTCCAAAACCTTTGGAATTTCCTGAGTGACACGAGTGTCTTCTGTTATTCCCAACAAGCAGCTTTAAATTATCACAGCTGATTTTATGCTAATGAGGCAATTAGGGCGGGGCCCTAGAGCCTCAGGATGGGGCTGGTCCCAGAAAGCCCCAGAGATTGGAGAGTTGGAATCTTGCAACTCCCGCCAGCAAGGATCCAGGGGCTGGGAACTGGGACATAAAAACTCTTGAACAACTACCACTGGAGAACTTCCAGATAGGAAAATGCATCCATGTGCCACTCCGGGTGCACCTCAACTCCACAGGGACGGAGGCTCCTGCACTGGTCCCTTCAGGACCTCGCCCTATGCCCTTCTTCAACTAGCTGTGCCCTTGCATCCTTTATAATAAACCGGAAATGTAGGTAAAGTGCCTTCCTGAGTTCTGTGAGTTGTTCTAGCAAGTTATCGAATCTGGAGATGGGATAGTGAGACCCCTGATACATAGCCGGCCGGAAGCAGGAGTGGCCCGGGACTTGTGAGGTGGGGCTGAGCCTTAAACTGTCAGCTTTGTGCTGATTCCAGTTAGCGTCAGTGAACTGAAACACCAGATACACAGCGGTGCTGGAGACGTGTCTGGTGTCAGAATATACCCCACGGCCTTATAACAAGGTTTGCCAAAAACGTAGGTAAAAAGAATCAACATGTTATAATGTACAGCATAGGGAATATAGTCCATAATATTCTAATAACTTCACATGGTGCCAGATGGCAACTAGACCAACTGTGGCCATTCTGTAATGTGTAAAAGTATCGAATCACTCTGTATGCCTGAAACTAATAAAACATTGTATGTCAATTAGAATTCAATTAAAAAATATCAGCATTTTACAAGAAGATATTGATTTACATGATGCAGAATCGGGAAGTAGCCTGATGAGAAATCAGTCTTGTGACAGAAATTTCCTCCTATTGCCTAAGCTTACCCAAGGTCAAAGAAGGGCAGTCAGCACATTTACAGATAACCCTGACCTAGGCTCCCTGTGCGGGCATGGGGCATGGCTCTGAGAAGCACCGTATCCACTTCCCCTCAACAACCCCCCGCAGGTGAGCATTAGTACACCCAGTTTACAGATGAGGAAACGGAAGAACAGAGAGGGGAAGTCAGTTGCCCAGTCACGCAGCAACGAGAGGCAGGACTTGAACCCACAGCACCCCATATTTAAGGAAGAGAAGATGGGAGGCACAGAAAAGCTGCTTCAGTTTCAAAGACAGATCAGCAGAGGTCGATACTTAATAGAAGGGTCCATTCTGTCTTCCTGATTTCAAAGACAGAAATTAATTTTAATATGAATGTCCAAAGGTGATGAACTCCCATTCAGCACTCTGCAGAGGGAGGGACTGTGACAGCCATCAGTGGGGCCCCGCGGGCAGGACAGGGCATCCGGCGCCAGGAACCCTGTTCCTCCCCTTTCTTCCCCTCTGAACACGTGTCCTCCAGGAAGTTAGTTAAGTTCCCCGGGGCTCTGAGCCTCTCTGAAATTAGGTGGAGGAATATTACTCCTCCTCAACCTAGGCCACAAGCCAGTTGAGGAGACAGCCAGTTACACAAGAGGCTAAGGCTTCTGAAAAGCAACACACAAACACGGTTTCTTTCAAGGAAGAAAACAGCCCGTGGGGTTTTCTGAGTGACTCCCCTGCCAGGAATAAGAAGGCTGCTTATATCATCTGCTTGGAAAAAAATTAAATTGTGTTTCCTTCCATTTCACCCAGAACAGAAACTATTCTCTTTCAAAACAAGGCCCTTGGTGCGGATGTAAGTGCTGGCGCACTCTCCTTGCGTGGGCAACGGGAAAGATCGTGGGGCCATAAAAGGATAAGAAGTTTTGAAGAGATGATGATAAAAGTATTTTAATGTGCAGATTGTTTAGATCTTCTCTCAGAGTCAGGCAAACATTATTGTTTGGGTCATGAAATTCTAGAAGAAAAAGAAATCCCTAAGGGTATCACCCTGCACGGACGAAAGGCCGCTACGCTTGTCCCTACCTGCAGGAAGTGGCTTGAGCAGGTGAGCAAGAACAGTGCTGGACGGGACAGCGGCCTCCAGGCACTGATATGCTCAGGAGCAGTGGCTCCCAACTGGGGACCGTTTCTGGGTATGACAATGGGGGAGAGGGTGCTACCAGCGTCTCAAGGATGGAGGCCAGGGATGCCGTTCACCATCCTAGGGTGCACAGGATGGCTCCCCACCACCTCCCAGGAGCACACACTGCATTGAGAGTCCTGCAAGAGAGGCTGGGTGCTGAGTGGGCCCGACTTACCCCAGGAGGCACAGGCTCCCGCAGGACAGCCAGGTCAGGGCGCCGGCGTTGTAGGACAGCTGAGTCACAATCATCTTATTGCAGGAAGGACAACACATCTGGATTGGGCGGTCGAAAAAGGAAATGGGCTGCTGCACGTAGACTGTCTGTACCGCAACTGGTGGAAGGGAAGCGGACAAGCACAGGCTGATCAGTAAATAAGCACAGCAGCCATTAGATGACAAAAAGCTGGAGGCGGGGCCTCCACAGGTATCTGACACCCAGGTTCTGAGCAGTACCATTCACAAGAGTCACAGGGTGGAAGCAACCCAATGTCCATCGATGAATGAATGAATGGATAAGCAAGATGTGGTCCATCCACACAATGGGATATTCTTGAGCATTACAAGGAAGGATGATCTCACACATGCTCATCTGGAGATGAACCTGGGGGACATGACGCTGAGTGGGCAATGCGCCAGTCACAGAAGGACAGTGGATGATTCCACGTACAGGTGGCACCTAGTCTAATTCATAGAGACAGAAAGAATGGTGGAAGCCAGAGACTGGGGGAAGGGTGGGGGTGGGAATAGGGAGTTAATGGTTAAGGGGGGCAGGGTTTCAGTTTTGCAAGATGAAAAACTTCTGGAAATGGATGGTGGGCATGGCTGCACGACAGTGTGGATATACTTAATGCCACTGAATTGCACACTTAGAAACACAGTGTGTTATGTGTATTTTACCACAATGAAAAAAAATTGGGGGAAAAAAGAAAAAGGACAAAAAGGAAAAGATAGGAAACAGTGGCAGATATCCAGAATTATCACTTCGAGGGGCTCTCAAAACCCTCATGCATGAGATGGGTTAAAGTACTGTGTATTCCTAGATGGGGGATTTGGAGCAGGCTCTCCAACTCAACTGTCCATGGAATCACATGGGGAGCTTATTGGGAATGCAGATTCCTGGGCCCTGCTGCCAACACAGTCTGGGGCAGGGCCCCCAAACTGCTTAAGTTTCCTGCGTGGTTCTACAAAGGTGGTCTGCAGATGATAATTTCAGAAACATGTGATGGGTTTTAGCCCATTTTTTTCATCCATCCATAGATCAGTGGTTGCCTAGGGCTGGGGTGAAGGGAAATGGGGAGTGGCTGCTAATGGGGACTGGGTTTCTTTCTGGGGTGATGGGAATGTCCTGGAATTACATTGTCCTAATGTTTGCACAATGCCATGAATATACTAAAACCAGTGAATTGTATACTTTAAAAGTGACCTTTATGATGTGGGAATTATATCTCAATAAAGCTGTTACTTAAAAGAGGAAGTTAACAGAGCTGTCCTAGGGTTAAGTGAGGTAAGGATGGTAAAGAACCTCACCCTGGGCCTGGTACAAAGTCAACCCTCAAAAAATAATCCCCTCTGTTGCTTCGGGTCTCCTCAATTAACTCGGATGTGCAGTGCCAAGGCTGAGTTTAGTGAGCCAGGGAACACTGACCCACTTCTTTACAGGCTGGGGAACTGTGCCAGCACATGAAACGAGGATATAAAGTCATGCTAAAAAGAGAAAACTATGTGAAAAATGTGCACGCACATCATGAAGCCCTCAGAGTTCAGCACATTCTTTCCATTTTCTTGGCAAAGTCGTTAAAGCTCGTATTTCTGTGAGTTCCTTCTGCTCCTTTCTATGGTATTGGGATGCCATGTCTATAACCTACGTATTAGGGGGAGTTAATTATTGCTCAGAGTTAACTGAACTTAATACTCCTAGAACGACCCAGAAGGACCCTCTAGAGGATGTTGAAGCACACTTTCGCACCTACCCATAAATTTTAGTATAAGTCTTTTTTTTGGACACCACTGATCAGAGCTATTCACTGATCAGAGCATGATCTGAAATTGTCTGAAGTCATTATTTTGTTGTCTTTTAACCCAAGGTGTTAGTTACTTGAACACGATGAAAACAAGAGCTCCCTTTAATCAAGTGATTCCTTGCAGAACTTTAATCTTAACACCCCACTGATGTGGGTCCTTGATGACCTCTATTTTACTGATGGGGAAACCGAGGCACAAGGCAGTTAGGTGAACCCAGACAGCCTGACTCACAGGGCCCACTCCCCGAGCTGACAATTTC